GGGGCCGGCTAGAGGGTTGCTGTTGGTAGGGTGAAACGCGACCTGTCGCACAGCCTCCTCGGGCAGAAATACAGAAACTTCACCCAAAGCAGGCGCGAGAAGTGCTTATATTAGGCAATACCTAGCCCTGAGCACGTCCCATCCCCAGCTGGACGCGCCCTGGGCCTGTGAGGGAAGGGCTGGAAAGGCCTCGGTGTTACCTGAGGGGCCTCCGGTTACCGCCAGCGCTATAGCGTCTTCTGGGGTGGAAGCACTGGGGTGTGTTTGGAGGTGCTCTGGGATGATAACCCCAAACAGCAGGGCCTGGAAATTAGCAGCATCACATAACTTCAGTGATGGATGATCAAACTGGCCCTTGCAGATATTGCAAATTGCATAAGAAGTAAAATGACTTGATTCCAATAGAGGAGGCGCATTTAGGTAACGTTAAGTGGCTATGGCATTTTGTGCTTTTGGTTATTTAAAAACAGATAACTGCATACTTACAAATATCCTTTCTTGGGTTTCAGGATTCTGAATCTGAAACGTGGAGGATCCAGGTACCTGCTGAGCTTTTTTAAGAGGCTTGGAGAGGTGGGAGGAGTGGCAGGGATCAGGTTTGGGATGGCATGGCGCTGAGGAGGGTTCTGGTGGGTTTCCCTCCCCCCCACTGCATCTCATTTTCTCTTCCAGCATAACACAAGCAACTTGTTCCCTCCGTTACTCTGTGGGGGCGTGCAAAGTAAAAGAGACAGAGAACCGCAGCTGCAGAGCGCGCAGGCTGAATCTGGCAGTTCTGTGGGTCGCCTCGCGTAGTCCTCCGGAGCAGCACCCACAGTCTTGACAGGTCTTGACCGTGCTGGAGCCAAGGAGCAACAAGGGAAGATGAAGGCAAAACTTGCCGGCTGTATTAACGCTTTGCAGAAGTAGATTTACCAGCTCCGCCTATATATCGATTTGCCTCAGCGTTTGCAGGAATTTGGGTGTATCTGCAACTTCACAAGCCGTTACAGTGGAGTGCCTCGTGCCACTCTCTGCCGCTCATGGGTGAACGACCAAGGAAAGATGAAAGCGAGGGGCCAGCACTAAATGCAAGACTGTAGGCATGGCTATTTCCCGGACCAGTTCTCCCCCCAATTAGCGGTACAGCATCAACAGCGCGTGGATGAGTCAGGGTGCGATAGTGCGAGTTCTCCTCCTTTAGCCTTACGCGCAGCGCTGGCAGGGACATTCACGTCGTTATTGTTGTCCATTCCCGCACTCCTCCTCCTCCCCCCCGGGCCTGCCCTGCCTCACGCCGCCCGCCAAGGCCGGGGGAGGGGAGGTGGGCGAAGGGGCCCTTTTCTGGTCCGGGACTCCATTTCCCAGCAGCCACCGGGATGCCCGCTCTCGCGAGAGTTGGCCGGGATCGCGCCCAGACTCCATTTCCCACCATCGCTCAGCGCGCCGGAAGTGCG